GTGTATATCCTTTCCCCTGTTCGAGTGTAGTTGGTTAGTTCAGATGATAAACACTGGGTTGTTGTAAAAAAATAATTATTGTGGGTTCATCTTATACTATCTTCATCCTCCTTGCCTGCATTTGGTGTAAATGGAATGAACTTTTGGATGTCTCGGTTTGATACACATCCACTGATTGATGCATTTCTGTTATCAATATCAACTATATCTCTCAAGATGCCATATGGTTATCATTATGTAAGTATATATATTAATTTTAGTAAATGTTAGTTTATAATGAAGGAACAGTCACATTACTTGAACCTCAGATTTGGTTTTACATGATTGACATTTGATTTTCCAAGTCATGTCTGCTTCAACTGATTCTAAGCAATTTGAACATGTGTGTGAGAAGCTTCTATCTTGGGTTGGGAAACGCATGTTGCCTCTTATCCATGCTGTTTTTTATTGTTTTTGAAAACAAATAATGTTAATTGTACGGTGTTTAGTATAACTTAAAAAAATATTACTTTTAAGGCTTCATTAATTGGTATTACTTACATATTTGAAGTTTGTGATTGTTTTAGCGATAGAAACTATGTCTTTCTCTTGTGGATATGGAAGTAAAATCTCAATGTCCTTTTATGCTTTCTTACAAAGTAATTCCTTAAGTTCTGTTTATACATGTGGCATAGATGTAACAGTTAGTTTCAGTTACAAGTTCTAATAAACTTATAAAGTTTTTGTTAAAAGAAACCATTTCTATCCGTTGAAGATCTTTTGTCACAGGTGCATTAATCATGATTCCAAGATCTTTTGTCAGAGGTGCATTAATCATGATTCCAGAGCCTATTCTCGTGCTTGGTGATAGACATGAAAGTCAATTGATGAATGTAAGTAAGTTTTGTGTAGTTGATGATGTATATTATGTGTTAATATAATCTATAATCAGGTAAACTAACCGTTAAAGGGTAGTTACTTTGACACACATAGCAAATGTTAATGGTCTCGTCATTCTTCCCGATTTAGTTCCACAACAAAAGTAAGAGAGGTTTTTTCTGTATAGGAGGGTAGAAACATCAAATTTCATATGATAATAATATATGTTAAATAATAAATCTTTGTGAATGGAAGTGGTTTTTTTGTACTTACTCTTCATTGACAATAATCAAAGTTCTTTTTGTTTTCAGATTTGGTCCTTGAGATATGACATCAGTCGGGAAGCATTTCCCCTTTAACTGTGGAAAAATATATATATAAGTATTAAAATTAGAATATACGCTTATTATAGTGGTGAGTTTGAATAGTTTCTCTTACATTGGTAAGTTTCATTTTCAGGCTTTCAGCATGTTTCTACACTTCACTAAAAGGGGTAAAATGGAATTGACATTGTAAATTAAGATGTCAGAATCAGTTATTATAAGAAAAAAAATATATATGAAGTAAAAGTTGTATAAGCACTGTCCATTTTATTAAGAAGATAAACCTCATGAAACTGCAAGGTTAGAACCTTAACATTCACATGCATTACTAAAAACGTAATGTTGAGAAAAAAAAATGAAAACTTGTATAAAGTGGGATGGATTCTTTATTTACAACAAAAAAGAAGAAATATATGCAAAACTGTTAAAAAAAACATAGAACAAGAAATTTGGGTAGAAAGCACATTGTCCATTGCTTCTTTGATAGTAAATGAAAAGAAATTTTGGTTTACAAAAGATAAAAAAGTCGTTTACACGGGTGAAATAAACAGGAAAGAAGCGACCAGAAATCGACATGCATAAAAAAATTAGAAACCTAAATGTTGAATGGAAGAATAAAGCTAACAAACATGCATTCATCTGTGAAATAGAATAATAGATAATGTTAAGAAAAGTTAAATACCTCGTATAGTGGTAATTAAATTGCAAGAAGATGAAAAAGACCGATAGTTCAAATGTGATACATGATGATTTAACTGAGATGTTAAAGTATTTGGGTTTCTTAGAGTGGGTTTCTTGTAGGACGAGTTCAAAAAGTAGATGAAGGTGGCAGCAAGATAAGGAACTTGGAAATAAGAGATGCCACGTGTTGTGAGGAGGTGTTGATGTTCTTTTTAGAATGTATATGAGTTCTAGAAGATATAAAGACCGATGAAGGCAAAAGGTAAATAAAATTTGAGCCCAATAAAATGAAAGCCCAATGAGTCTAAAAAAGCCTAAGTGAATGGAGGGAAAAAAATAACAGAATAAACATTTACTAAAATTATTTAACCAAAAATGTATTTCTTATACATCAATGCATGGTCTTTTTTTTTTTTTTTCAGTAAGTAGTAAAACAGAAGAAATTAGATTAATTGATAAAAAAAACCAACGGAAATGTTTAATTTTTCAATTTACCTAAAAGTAGACAAAATTACAAAATATGCAAAATTACAATATATACAAAATTACAAAATATGCAAAATTACAATATACAAAATTACAGGATGGGTCCATATACTTTACTAGATTTAACACTCTAAGGAGAATGTTGGAAACCTTTATGCATATAGTCCATATTGTTTTATTTTATTTTCTGGTTGGTCCTTGATCATATAAAAAGATTTATTTTGTTATTTATTATTTATTTTTTTTTTTTTGCATTTTCATTATTTAAAAAAAAAAAGAACATAAATCTCTCTCTCTCTCTCTCTCTAGGGTTGTTCTTCATGAACGTGCACATGCACATTCCCTCACTCCTCGACATCTTTATGAACACATTCAGACACTTCAAAATTTAGGAGTTTATTCTTTTAAAACACACATACATTCATGAATAAACACACCAATTGTCCATTTGCCACCACCTTCATCGCTACCACCACATATTGTCACCACCGTTACTAACACCACCATGACCGTCTACAACCGACCCCCCCCCACCCCCCACTTAATAAAAATAATCATCTAATTACTGTGATTTCAGCGCTAACATGAATAAATATCAAACACATAAAGAACTTGATGAAACTGGGTTAATCAATCAATTACAACTATATATATACACAAAACATTCGATAATCAAATATATTGAGTAAATTACACGAATGGTCCCTATGGTTTAGGGTAATTTGCGTATTTGGTCCCTAATTTATATTTTTAACTCGGAAGGTCCCTATTGTTTGTTTTTGTTACGCGCTTGGTCCCTATCATACATAAAAAGACTATTTTACCCTTGATTTTTTAATCTATTTAAATAAACACACCCCCAACCCCACCCCTCTCACCTTACCTTACATGCCCCATCATTTTTTTCTATTTAAATAATAGTCGTTTTGGGTAAGACGGGGACCAAGCGTGTAACAAAAACAAACATTAGGGACCAAGCGCGTAACAAAAACAAATAGTAGGGACCTTCCGAGTTAAAAAAATAAGTTAGGGACCAAACGTGCAAATTACCCCAAACCATAGGGACCATTCGTGTAATTTACTCAAATATATTATAAGAATTATGAAAATAAAAATCTAAGGTAACATCACAATATATAACTTCTTTGAAATCAAATCCAAGATTGAGTCAAAAATATAAAATTTGATTTAAAATGAAAACATGAACTAAAAATCCCAAAATTAAACTGAAATCATATAAATCAAAATTCTAATTTAGAATGAAAACCTAAATCAATTTTTATAAATTCCATTTTTGTTTCACAAATTATATAATCACTTTCACGTAAGGATCCCTATATTAATGCATGTTATTAAATCAAAATCTAACAAGCAAGGTGTTAAGGGTTGGCTGGGGACTTTTCCCATCACCTTACTTTTCCTCTAACTATTACCTTCATCGATGGAGCTCTATATCGAATGAACCCTCATCCTCTAACTGCCACCTTCATTTATAGGTTTCGAATCAAAAGTATTTGCCTCCTCTTCTACTAGTATTTGTTGGTAACGAGTTTGTGGGAGGAAAAGGAGGAGTTGTTAGTGAGGGAGAGAGGAACGATATAGATCTTCAAGCTGGGTGCATGTAGATGTTATTGTGATAGCAATGGTTGGTTGACTGGTAGTGGTAAGGTAGAGACATCACTATTTCTTTAAAGAGAATGAGAAATGAGTTTTTGGGTTAAGCACGATATGGGTAATTTTTTTTTTTTAATAATATTTAACCAACCCGACAACCATATGAAGTTTTACCAACCCAACGATCATATATTTCAACTCGTATTGAATGTTCAGCCATTAGTTAAGATAAAAATATATCGAACGCATATAAAACTTTACCATGAATAAATTGTATCTCCTAAACTTAAAGGCTCGATTAATATTTGTTTTCCCCAAAATCCCAAGTACTAAAGACAAACATGACATCATTACAAAAATAAAGTCTTAAGTATGGAAACCCAAAAAAGAGTGACAAACATGACATCATTATGAACATAAAGTCCGCAAACCTAAAAAAGACAAGCCAACTTAAAGGGGTGTTTGGATAGGAAAAAAAAAAAATTTATTACTTATTGCTTATTCCCACTGCAATAAGCTAGTTTAAGTATTTGAATAAAATCTTTAAAATCAGCTTATTATGTTAGAAATAAAGTAAATAAACTAATTTTAATAAGCATATTCTCCTTGCTTATTGTTTATTCTCATTACAAATAAGCTAATAACAATAAGCTAGTAAGCTAATCCAAACACCCTAAATATAATTGTGGTGGGGATGTAAATCTGAAAAAGGAAAGGACCAATTAAGTAATTTTGGTCCTAAAATATTATATGCATTTATAATTTATAATAATCGGTACGGGTCCTTTTTTTCCAAGTACGGTCCCAGTTCTCACCCCGGCTTGGACTCTAGAGTCGATAAAGTGGACTCATGAATGACCAGGAACCCTAAATCATCCCCATGGAGGATACCAAAAACACAGCGATTTTCGCCACAATTACTAGCAATTTTCCCTTGTAAATGCCTTCAGTTTACGCCATTACTCGACACCACTCTATAACCTCCACCCCTCCTCCTCACAATTTCACTGCAAATTTTTCTTTTTGGTTTTTGGTTAGATGGGAAATGTTAATCAGAAACCCCAACCAAATTCGCAAACCCTTCAACAAATTGAAGAAGAAGAATCAGCATCATCGACATTCACCTGCGAGATTTGCATAGAACCCGTAACACTCCCGAACAAGAGATTCAAGAACAGCAACCGATGCGTCCACCCCCTTTTGCACCGACTGTATGATCAAATACATCCAAGTGAAACTCGAGGACAACGTATCTGACATCAAATGTCCAGCTCTCACCTGCGATCACTCCCCTCGAGCCCCTCTCATGTCGCCCAAAGATTGCACACCAACTGTTCGACAAATGGTGTGACGTACTCTGCGAGTCGGCGTTGCTAGGGCTTGATCGAGCTTACTGCCCTAACAGAGATTGTTCGGCTTTGGTTATCAACGAGTGTGGTGGCGAAGGTAATTTAAAGCGATGTGTATGTCCTAATTGTAAGAAAGCCTTCTGTTTCCGATGTAAGGTTCCATGGCATGCTGGGTATAGGTGCGAGGAGAGCGGTGAAATGAGGGATCGAAACGACATCGCTTTTGGTATTCTTTCCGAGAGGAATCAATGGATGAGGTGCCCTATGTGCAGACACTGTGTTGAACTTGTCAAAGGTTGTGCCATTGTTAAATGCAGGTATCTCTTATTCCCTCTATCAAACCCATATCAAAGATTCCGTTCACAAATTCAGGATTTTTTTTTCATATATTAATGTGGATAACTTGATTGTTTTGTTTATTGTGAATTTCTTATTCAATTTAAGAAAGAAAGAACAGATTGAGGGTATTGAGGGAAAGAATCAAGATAAATTAGAATTTAGAAGGTGGAATCCATGGTTAACTGATTAAATCCACAAATTGTGTCTAAATTTTCAAAAAAAAATTCATGGTTTTTGGCGTGTTTCCTAGCTTGATTACGGTTATAATTGAAGTAAGAAGAAACTTTGCATCATATGTTGTTTCTTGATTTAAAAAACCGAGAATGACATTTGGTGTTTTCATACCTAAATTTCTCCTAAATTTGGAAAAGTTTATGTTTTGGGAAATTCAAGATGATCATATTTACAACGAAACTTTTTGCATATCATATCCATATGGTGTCTCCAAAACCCAAAAAGAATATAAAATTTTCAAGATTTTCTTGATTTGATTCTTGTTCTTGTTCTTGAATATGAATATATGATGATGCGTTTTAAACATTTGGTGTAGATGTGGAATTGAATTTTGTTACAAGTGTGGAAAAAAGGTGGATCACCATTGGTGCAATTGTCGAAGATCATCTACATTTTGCATGTGGATTTTTCACTTGTGCATAGTGATTTTGGTTCTATGGCCATTTTTTCTTCTATTTACAGCTATAACAAGAAAAGGCCACCATTGATTTGACTCATAGAAGAAGATGATATTATATCATAGAGGTCTTTTTAATGATTTTCATATTATATCATGCGAGAGAATGTAAATAAAAAATTGCTAAATACAAGCTTTGGTTATCATATTAGAATAAGTCTTGAAGCCCTCTTTCTCTCTATGTAAAGAGTGATATTATATATTACTTGTGATGGATTTATATAATCCAAAATTACTATATTTACCATCTTTTTGTTGTTCTTTTGTTGTTTATCTTGTTTTTGTTATATTGCTTGGTTGTTTTTCTTGTGATAGTGTGATGCTTTTTTGGATCACATTTTAGTGTGATATGAAACTTGTCAAATTTTCAAGCAATGTGATACTTCGAAGATGTTGTACTGCATTTGACATGTATGACATTTGGATTGTGATATACATGTGATAAAAATTGCAATTTTGTATCATGATCTTCATCATCGAAAATAGTTTTATTAAGTTTGGTTATGTTACATGAAACTATAGGCATATGATAATTATAATTGCTTTTTTTTCAAACATATTTGGTGCTTATGTGTAGGCCTCATTTGTTACATAGAACATGTTAGCATTGTATCTAGCATGTGTTTTATTTGGACTATGATTATTGTCCATGAGATAAAAATTATAATTTTATATTTGTGATGTATTTTATTTGAACTATGACTAATGTCAATGAGATAAAAATTGTAATTTTATATTTCACCCTAAAGTCTAGAACATGGAACCACTCTTGATCTCTTCCCTATCAAAAAACTTTCATGCGATCGAACACAGTAGTATTTTTTGTTTTCTTTTTCAAAATATTGAAACAATATGGTTTAATTGATTTTGCAATGTCTATTACTAAATGCGTCGTTAATGGAAAAAAAAAAAAAAAAAAAAAAACTACCTTCATTTTTTACTATTTTTTGAAAAAACCCCGAGATTCGTACAAATTTATTACACACCCTTTTTTGATTAAGCTTCCATTGTTTGCATATATATATATATATATATATATATATATATATATATATATATATATATATATATATATATATATATATATATATATATATATATATATAACAAAATTAAAGAAAAATAAAGGTTATTGCAAATTATATTATAGTTTTTGTTTGTAGTTTTCAAATAGAGAAAAGCTAAGAAAAATCCACCATATTTTCGTCAAATGCTTAAAAAACCTATTATATTATTTTTTAGTGCACTAAAACTCTTATATTTTCGGGAATTTTTATTTAAGGTTTTCCGACCTCAAAAAAACCTAATATATTTTCATTAAATGATTAATAAAAACATTATATTTTTTAGTGCATTTAAACCCTCATATATTATATATATATATATATATATATATATATATATATATATATATATATATATATATATATATATATATATATATATATATATATTTTAATCTAATGAATTGTATAATGTTAAGAATCAATTATCTAACATTTTCGGCTATCTAGGATATACCGAACTCGATCCTTTAAATGATATATTATAAAAAATATAAGAATCTTAAGGTACAAATAAATAATATAATGGTTTTTTAAAGATTTTGATGAAAATATATTGGAATTTTATTTTTAACGCATGTTTCATGTAAATGGGTGGTGGGGTGCCTTTAAGATAAATGATACCAATTGTCCCCACGCGCTTTGCCTATTTCAAAGAAATTGCTAAATAAAACATATTTATGGATATGCATTTTATTGAGTAGATAAGATATGGTCACATTCAAACCATTTTGAGAGCTTTTGGAGCATCTGATTCGGTTTTAAAATATTTGAACAAACTGAATCATTCAGAATTAGACTTAATTAAACCTAACTCATTCGGCATGTATCAAACGACTTTTTATACCATTTTATCAAAATTTTAATATATTTTTCACTCGTTTAATTTATAAAATCGTCTTTTTTTCAAAATTTTAATATTAATGTTTTACAATAAAAGAAATTGTGTTTATTTAATTATAGCATTCTCAATCATTTACCCTATCGTTACACAGATTCAAATGGAGCAAAACTTTATCTTAAGAAAAATTGGCAGTACCACTATCACCTTGGCAGGCTTTATTTCCAAAGATATCTATCTTATCTCATAATTTTACTTATGATAGTAAAAGGTCAAAAATTCAGCTCTACATGTGTCTCTATAGATTTTGAACAATAAAATATTGGATACCTATGAAACTTAGAGGCCAAGCTTAAGATACCTTTAATGGAAAGCATCATAATTTCGAAATATTTAAATAAGGATAGAAGACTAAAATTTGTGATAAAAGTGTTGGGGATAACTGTTCATTGTTGAATAATGAATAATTACCAAAATAACCATTTTTCATATACATGAATATCGGATAATGATGTTTCTTATAAAATATGAAAATGATTATGAAGTTTGAAAATAGACATTTTCGAACTCCTTGAAAATTTCAAATTTTATCATGAGTTTCAAATATATTTTTTTCATGTGTTTGGGTTGAGTTTTGAACTCTATTTTCATGTTAGATATCTATTTTAATGATATTATAGAGAAGAAAGATGGGAACCCAAATTTTAATGAAATTTGTTCGTTACAAACTGAAGATTTGAAATTAAAATGTGAGGAGAATGATGAAGAAAAATGATAGAGAAAAAAAAATTAATAGGTAAAACTCTTGAATATAGGAGTTCGAAATTTAAAATAGAGAGCCACTGTGATATTTTACTTTTTGAAAAAAAAAACAAATTAAAAAAAACTTTTATTCAGCTGTAGCTTGAAGCTTTTATTTTGATTAAAAATATCATATCCAAAATCTAATTCACGATTTTTAGAGCTTTTAGATTTTTAGATTTTATTTCATTTTACACATTTCAAACTATTACAATTATTTTTGCAGAACACTTAAAAAAATAAAAACTATAGTTTTCAACTTTCAACTATTAATTAATTTTGCCAAACATACATTATAATTGTTTACTTTTCTTGTTTAAAAGTGATAAAGATATTATTTGTTTTTTTACTCTCCTTAGGTTAGAGATGGTTTATTAAAAATAATATACCTGCTTTATTTAGGTCATTTACTTTCGTTAATTTAGAATTAGTTTCTTAGATGTATATGTTGTCTACCATCTTTAATGTGGTAATGTTACTATTTTTAGTGAATTGGTCTGAAAATCATATTCTAAGTTTTATGTTCATAACCCTTGGAATTGTTTGTGTTCCTTTTTACCCCTCAGTGACACCAATGCGAGCTTTATCAATGATTGTAGTAATTTTTTATCAGTTATACTATTCTTTTGATATTTGTCTTTTTGTTTCTTTTAATTTTTTCTGTTGAAGTCGATTACTCTTTCAACCCAATTCATTGCATCAAGTCTTATAACTATTATAATGTTTTGGAAATTAAATCACAAAAATAGAAATGGCAAGATCGATAGATCAACCGATCATACCATTTGGATAATAGATCAAAATAGTTTGAGTTAAAATTAGTATAAAATCCATAATATTCGTCTAACTAGTTTATATATATATATATATATATATATATATATATATATATAATATATATATATATATATATATATATATATATATATATATATATATATATATATATATATATATATATATATATATAAAGTTAGGATTTGTTTTTCAAAACTAGTTTTAAGTTGCAATCTAATAATCATAGTTGGTGGCTAAAAGTTATAGTTTTATATTATATAAAAATGTTCGATAAAAATAGTTATAACATTTTAAAGGTGTAAAATTATATAAAAACTAAAATTAAAGTTATTAAAAGATATTGCAACAACTTTTGGATCATGCATTGTTTGTTTAAAATAAATAAATAAAAATTAACTTCATACTTACGAACAAAACTTTTTACTCGATTTTTCTTAAAAACTAAAAGTTTTTATAAACTTGCTACCGAAATACCCTTAATTTCAGAAAAACTATTTTTTCAGAATAAATAAATTACCTTTCTTAATCTTAATATACTAATAAGTTTTGTTCGAGTTAAGAATCATATTTTTATTATTTTTGTTTGGTTTTGTATAACCAAAAATAATATTTTATCATGAAAAAAAAAAACTAAATGGTGTTAATGATATATTAGATTATTATCATTGTTTTCTTTTCATAATAAAAAAAAATCTTGATATTTAATAAAAATCCATATAATTGCCCGAAATGTCTTTTCCCGCTTTATTCTTTGGATTCGGGTCGGTCCAATACTAAGCGGCAAGAATAACCGAGCCAACAAGCAAGCTCCACCAATGAAACACATCCACGTGTCTTATTCTTATTGGCTGTTTTCAAGCAACCTTCTTCCTATTCATTCGACGGCGAACAATCGGTACATGAAATTGAAATCGAAGAACCGCAACAAAACACTCCGACATTCAACACATTATGGGTCACCGGCTCTTTCTCCTCCTCTCCTGTTCTCTTCTCGCCGTTGCCTCTTTGGTCGCCGGAGACGACGCCTTCATCCGTCAGGTGGTCGACGACCGAGTCCAGTCGTTGAACACGGAGGAGCATCTGCATCACTTCGGTGTCTTCAAGCGAAAATTCGGTAAATCATACGCGTCACAGGAAGAACATGATTACAGGTTCACTGTCTTCAAAACTAACCTCCGCCGCGCAAAGCGTCACCAGAAGCTTGATCCATCGGCGGTCCATGGCATCACTCAATTCTCCGACATGACACCATCGGAATTCCGAAAGCATCTCGGACTGAGATCTCGTCTCAGGTTCCCGGCGGACGCCAGCGAGGCTCCGATCCTTCCGACAAACGATCTTCCCGATGATTTCGATTGGAGAGATCATGGTGCAGTCACCAATGTGAAGAATCAGGTACTCCGATTTACGCAATCAGTATATCGATACTCTGTTTCTAATTTGTTTCCGTAATGCAAATTGCAAAATTCGAGGTTGATGTTACAAATGATGAGTGTTAAATTAGGGTTCGTGTGGGTCATGCTGGTCGTTTAGTACAACTGGAGCACTCGAAGGTGCTAATTTCCTTGCTACAGGGAAGCTTGAAAGCCTTAGTGAACAGCAACTTGTTGATTGTGACCATGAGGTTTGATTCGATTATTACTTTATCACTCTATGTCAATTTCTGTTATTGTAGTGATTGAAACTTGTGTCAAGTGTAGTGTGATCCAGAAGAAAAGGATTCATGTGATTCAGGATGCGACGGAGGTCTGATGAACAGTGCTTTTGAGTACACTTTGAAAGCCGGTGGGCTTATGAGGGAAGAAGACTATCCTTACACAGGAAGTGCTAGTGGAAGATGTAAATTTGATAAAAACAAGATTGTAGCATCTGTGAGTAATTTCAGTGTGGTGTCCCTTGATGAAGATCAGATTGCTGCTAATCTTGTGAAAGATGGTCCTCTTGCTGGTATGCATCTTTTTTCTTTGATTTTAAGTTTTGCCTAATGAATTGATTCTTTAATAACTTCTTTTGTTCTTAAAAATTGTGTTCATATGCAGTGGCTATCAATGCGGTTTATATGCAGACATATATCGGGGGAGTGTCATGCCCATATGTGTGCTCAAAAAGGCTAGACCATGGTGTACTAATGGTTGGTTATGGTGCTTCTGGATACTCCCCAATAAGAAGGAAGGAAAAACCATACTGGATCATTAAGAACTCATGGGGACCAAATTGGGGAGAAAACGGATATTACAAAATCTGTAAAGGTCCTAATGTTTGTGGTGTTGATTCCATGGTCTCCACAGTCGTTGCAGTTGCCCAACACTAACATTCTGCAAACCTACTAAACATATTTCTAATTTCTAATAATTTATTTTTATGTACCAATACTTAATTAACATAAATAACAATCTCACATTCACACCTCTTTATTATTGTTGATAGATAGTAGTAGCAAACAATACATTATAATTTATAAATAAATAAATAAAGTATAAAGTATAAAGTACGTGGTGATTTGTAAAGAGTGTGAAATAATTAAACAATCATTCATCCTCATCACCGAGTAACATGAAGGAGAAAGGATGGAATTTGTACCCATCTCCTTCATAGAACTTGTTTTGAAACTCCACCCAGTGAAGTCTTAATGCGTGTAGAAAGGCACTAAGAGTTTCCATCACTAGCAACACACCAACCGTTGCAAAAATAAACACTAGAATTCCAATGCCAAGAATTATCACATTATTGTACCTTCACATGTTTGTAAAAAGGTATAGTTAGGCCATTAAGTCATTTTATCCAGATTAAAAAAAAAAAGCAAGTGGAGTTAACTTACCCCCAAGCAAGAAGAAGAACCTTCTCATAGAACACGGTTGACAACTCCGAATGTGCCAAACTGAAAGATAACTTATAATTCATTAGACTCGAGATTATTATTACATAAACAGTAGTGAGTGAAGAAAGGGTATTATAGTCATTTCACCTGAGTGCCCATAGACGAAGGTAAGAAGCTGTATTTGACACGGCCCCGAGTACAAATTCTATAGTATGAATAAGTTGATGAACAAACACTTCACTAAACTCAAATTCTTCATGTGAATCATGATTTGCCTCCACTTGTAATGATTGATCTTCTCCTTCAAGTGGCGTGTAGGACTCCCCTTGGTGTGTCTAAGGTTACAAAAAAACAAAATTCCATTAAAAAAATTTGAGTTTAAAAAAATAAAAAAAGAAAAGGAAAAAACATACCCTGTTGTATTGTGCTTTTAAAATGAAAGGCTTGGGAAGCAACATCCATGGGACAGCAACGAGAGACAATAGTAAGAGCACAAGTTGAACTGTTTTTTGATTTGCAAAAAGCTGATTTTCTCCAAGGTCATCAGTAGGACTAAGGAACATGTATATCATTATATGATATAAATCCGCCTTTGAACCAATGCACCACTTAAGAACAATAAGAAACGAAAGGTATCCAAACAACCCGTTCAAAAATATCATCTGAGGAATAAACTGAAACCTGAAAATTAAAAAAACAATTTAAAAAAAAAAAAAAAAAAAAATCATACATCGAGTAACGTTTTTACTATTTGAAGCAAACCAACTAACCAGATATTTACAGGGTTCTTGAAGTACAACGCGTTAAAAAAACTCATTATTATCCCAAGGTTCATTTGCGCTACACCAATAAGAATCGACATTTTCATCTTCAAAGAATTTAGAAACGGAAGTTCACTCCGACTCCCGTGCCAAGCGGGGTCCACACCAAACGGGTACGTGTCCCTCCCCTTTATCAAACCAATAGTGGTAGCTTCACTACAAAACGATTCAATAACTTTTAAAATACAATTCATTTTTAAAAAAATATATATATATATATATTATTATTTATTTATTTTTATACCTGCAAGAAGTATCACGGCATACATAAGCTGAAGGGCTAAACAACTCAAATGGAACTGAGAAAAACTCGTTGTAGATTAAGCCGGTGTAGATTGAGAAGAGTGACATGAGCAATATAACGTAGCGTCCTCCAAATGTCATTTCCATAATGTCTCCAAGCTTCTGAGTTGAATATTTTTTCTCTTTGAAGATTAAAAATAAAGCTGCTAGCAATATGCATATTCCGTGGCCCCAATCACCAAACATTACAGCAAACAGAAATGGGAATGTGACAACAGTGTATACTCCAGGGTTTGCTTCTTGGTATTTTGCAACCCTGCATAGCACCGGATTAAAACTCTTGGTAATGAGAATACAAGTAAATTACATTTTTAGTCCTTGAATGTAGCTGATTTTTTTATTTTTGGTCCTTGTTCCAAGTAAAATGACTTGGGGACTAAATACGTTACAAGTTACAACAACCTCAAACGACTAAATTTGCAAGACAAGTTTTTAGGATCGAAATTGCAAAAATCAGTTCTACCTGGGGACCAAAAATGTAATTTACTAAGCCTAAGTAAAACTTTTGTTTGATTAAGTTACATTTTTGGTACCCGAGTATTGCTATTTTTTCAATTCTTGTCCCAAAAAAATTCTCTTGCGATTTTGGTCCTTTTTTGAGATTTTTGTAACGTTTACAAGTAAAAATCACTCTATATTAGGGACCAAAATTGAAAAATCAGTTCTACCTGGGGACCAAAAACGTAATTTACTCAACATAAGTAAAACTTTTAGTTGATTAAATTACATTTTTTGGTACCCGAGTATTGCTATTTTTTCAATTCTCGTCCCAAAAAGTTTTCTCATGCAATTTTGGTCCTTATTTAAGATATCTGTAACATTTTTGGTCCCTGTTCCAAGTAAAATTATATATTTGGGACCAAAATTGCAAAAATCAGGTATACTTGGGGACCAAAAAGTCATTTAACTTCAAACATGAACAAAAATACGTTACAAGAACTTCAAAAAAGGAACAAAATTGTAAGAGAAAACATAATGGGACCAAAATTACAAAAACCAGCTATACTAAGGGACCAAAAATGTAATTTACTCTAGCTATTCACATAATTTATGATTCTCACCCATATGCATCAACAATTGTTTGAAAGGATTCAGTGAATTTGTTTGTTCTAAAAAAGGTTGGAGGCAATTCTTTTGTGTGTAAAATTCGGAATATAGCACCAACTTGTGAGTTAGAGTCTATAGTTGCACGAGCCAATGCATCTTGAATCTATAAAAAAAAGGGTAATAATATTAGGGTTAAATGCAAGAAATAGTAATTTACTACTTTTATTTATTTATATAAGTAAAAAATAGAAATATAAATACCTGTTCAGTTGCGTATATTGGACTCCACCCTTCAGCCACAAGACACTTTTTTGTTACATCAATGCTGAGCATGTTTAGAGTGTGATAGATAGATTTCTCTTTTCGCACCTTAAAAAATTTAAAGAAAATATAGATTAAGAAAAATTTTATCTACAAGGGTTAAATGGAATTTAAAAAAAAAAAAAAAGACAACACATACCAAAAGATTCCACCTTTCATATTGTTCTCCTATTGTTTGTAACAAATTTCCACGATGCAAAAGTCCAGCATCTATTGTTCTCTTCAGCTCAGATGTCCTTCCAGATACCTAAAAAAAAATTATAATTATAATAAAAAAATTCAGTTATTGACTTATTGTAAGTTGTAACAATAATAATTGAGAAAAACGTTGAATAATGTATACCTCAGTTATTGTTTGTTGTTGTTTGCTTAAATCTTCCACAAAAGGGTAACGATTTGCTCCAAAAGCTTCACATATTTTAAGAACTTTGCTTTTTGCTCTTTCTCCAGAATAAAAAACCAAAAATACATTTTTCTCAACCTGTATAGTGGTAAATAAGTAAGAACTAAGAACTAGATTTGATTAATAAACAATATGGAATGAATAATAACAAGAAGGGTATTATCGACCTTTTCTCCAGAGCTAGGATCAACAACAGCTTCTTCAACAGTAGATTGCCTTAAAAAGACATTACCCCTTGTAGCACGAAATAGAATTCTTTCAAAAGCCATGGATTTTCCTTTAGCCACAAGCCCAGCAAGAACCCCTAGTTTCACTTGTTTCCCTTGCTCACTTTTTGAATCCTGCAAAAATTAATTATTTAAATCAATTCATAACAAAAAATTAAAAGAAATAATGAAATATAAAAGATTGGTGTCATGATTTGTACTTGATCTGTTAGAAGAGGAGTTTCCAAAGATTCTTCAGGGGTATTATCGGATGAAAGTTCTCTTTGTTGAGCTACAACACTGCTTTCTGCTGTCCTGAAAAACTCGCCAGCCTGGCAAATTATTTGAACATTAAGGGTATTTTTGGTAATTGGTATATGATCAAATGGAAGAAAGAAAAAAAAAAAAAAGTAGTTCCATACTTCCATATACCTTCTGTAAGACAAGCTTATATTCCACAAGCTCATTATAACCACGCTGCAACTTTTCACTATTTGCATTTACTTCAATCAATTCAGCTTCAAGATCTCCAAGTTTTATCTAAAAAATGACACATATGAGCCTCATTGAGGATTTTATTTTTTTTTTTGGTGGATTTTTATTAAAAGTCATATATACCTCAAGATCATCCAGATTGATATCACCTTGTGCCTCGGTTTTTGGGGTGGGTGTAAGACCTGCCTTTGACATTTGATCTTTGAAGTAACGCAATTTTCGTGCCATTTCTCCACATCTTTTGATCTTCAGAATTGAAAAAGATTTAAAGCATTGTCTTATTAATAAAAAAAAGTTCAAGAAGTAACTAAAAGAGAGATGGATTAACTAAAGAAAATCACCTGTCCAGCATATGTTCTTTGAAAAGGGCTTTTTTCTGCATTCAGCTGCAACACCAGATGGGAGTAATGTTAAAGAAGGAATCAAAATAACAAATTAGATAACAATCAGGAAGATCTCTTAGCTTATAAAAACTAGCACTTTATATAGTATTTAAGCCTTTTTTTCATACATAGCTAAGTTCTATATAAAAGTTTTGAACCACTGGAAATTGTAAAATCCTATGTTCCACAAAAAGGAGCTAATTTAGACCACTGTAAAGCCCTTGTTAAATCGACATTCAACAATATTCAAACTTCAGTTCTACAGCACCTTGATCTTGTCCCATGAGCAATTAAGTTCAGAGTACAGAATTAAAAACATATAAATTTGTTGGAACTAGAAATTATGCAGAGAGAAAACTAGTGTTGCTCAATCAATCTTCAATCCAGTGTAACTTTAAGCTAGAACAATCAAATTTCGTAAAAAAATGCAAATTTAAACCACCTTGAAGCCCTAAATTCAATAAATCAACAACATTTCAAACTCAGCTTAATAACATCTTGATCTTGTCCTATAAACGATTCGCTGCAGTATACGTCATTAAAATTATACTAATGATGCTAATACACCAAAAAAAAAAGATCCAATTTGAAGCACTCTTCATACTGATCACGAAATCACATAACAACAGCTACAGAGCAGAGATATAGAAAGAGTACATACATCTTTGAATTGAATGAGGCCGATATCTCCCAGGTAGGAGGCAGTCAAGTGAGCTGACTCAATAGGAATGATGATTTGTACCAAGTGCATCGGTTCTGAACGGAATAGATCCATCGGTGGACAACATCCTCCTCCGCCACCGTGGTCCGCCATCTGTCGCTGTTCGATTCCTCCCTCTTTGTTATCGTCGTCACCACCCTTCCGGATCGATCAGAGTGTCTGTGTCTGTCAGATAGTCTTATCGCTACAATATATTCACAGCAGCCACGTTATTTCGATTCGCTTTTGCTTTTCGGATTTTTTGGGGTTATTTTCTTTTTCTTTTTGTTATATTAGAAAAAAGATAAAGATTTTCCTATCGGGGGAGTTGACGATTTTGGTCGACTAATACAAAATTTAAAAACAAAATTATTTCCTGATTACTTTTTCCAATGATATAAATTATGAAATCATATAGGGTAAATAAACATTATTCCATTCAAAGGGGTAAATCATGTACCTTAGGGTTACGTATATAATTTTTTTTCCCTATAAAAAAAGAATGACAATTTTGATTGTCAAAAAAGTCTATTCTGGAATTTGTGAAAAACTGTAAAAAAAAAAATACATGGTCCAAGGTCCTGTTTCGGCTGGGATGATATAAAAAGGGAAAATGATTTATAAGGGTAGATATGTTTTAAAATTGCTCAAAAAACATTATTTAAGTTCTATTTGTTCAAAAACATTATCTAAATAAGGTCTTTATACAGAAAATACCAACAAACTATTCATTTTGTTCAAATCTCACCGTGAAATAAGCGGCACTTTCAAGTGAGTAGATGAGTTGATATATTTTGCTGATTTGACATATTTAGGTGGTGAGTTGGCAATTATATACTCAACAAATTAAGAAATTCACGTCAATAAATAGATTTAGGGGGTGTTTGAATTAGTTTATTAGCTTATTTGTAGTAGGAATAAACAATAAGCAATAAGAGGGGATATACTTATTAAAATTAGTTTATTTCTAACACAATAAACTGAATTTTAAGGATTTTATCCAAACACTTAAACTTAGTTTATTTTGGTGAAAATAAACAATAAGCAATAAGCACCCTCTTTTTTTTCCTATCCAAACACCACTTAAGCATAAGCTCACAACTGATGAATACGACTCCTTGCATATGACTACTGTTGATCGAATTCTTCAAACTTTCAAGGCTTTTCCTGTAAATCGTTAAACTCCATCTCAAGCTCACCTATTTCCAAAAAAAGAGCAATGTTGATCATCGAAATCCTTGTTGTTGGGGGTACCCTTCTCAAATATGGATTTTATGGTGCCTTATATTGCTCTAGCAAGGTTCTTTTATGGTGTTGGACAATTTTGCCTCTCATTGTGCATTTTTATTCTTAGCTTCCCTTGCGTCTACAGTAAGGAAGTCCATGACATGTGGGCTTACAATATTTGCCACATGCATTGGTTAATTTCTTTTAAAAATGCAAGTAGGACCCATATTATTAGGTGAAGATATTTGAAGGATGACTTAAAAGAATACATGAAAAGCTATGTATCTCATATAAAAAATTGATGCTTCTAATGCAAACCTAAATGCTCCTCAAATGGGATAAAAGGAATCAAAAGGGCATAATTGTCATTTACTCACTGTTATGCCCTTTTTCTATTTTTCATTTTTAATATTAAGTTATTGTACTATGCACAATATATTCAATTATGGATAAACTCTTGAATTCTCAAATTACATTGAAGTGATAATAAGAAATGAAAGTAAGATGTAATGGGAAGGTTGTTTAGTAGCAACATTAATTGTCATTTATTATTGTCATGTTTCTTCATGTACATAAAGCAAGAAGGTTTCATTTCAACGGTGGCCGAAGCAATCACCTCAGCAGTTGAAAATTTAAATTGCTCATGTCATATTAAAAGGGTATTCTTGTCTTTTTTTTCTTCTTTTGGAATCAACATTCTTTTTCATAAATGGTATAAAGGGTATAAAATGAATTATTATTATTTTTCTGTTTTTGGTTATAACATGCTAGAACCGGTGCTATGAGTGCTACAAAAATGCCTTAATAAACCAATTTCAAGAATAGCAATGTAATCTCAATCTTAAACTAAACAGATTAATCTGGGAATATTTTAGAAGGAAAAAAAGCAAAGGGTTAGGATCAATTTGATCAACAAATGCAGTTATGTCATAAAGGAGGCTACATGGGTAACTTAAGAATATATCAAATTCAATTCCCTTTTATCATATTCCAGTTAAGCAAAGGAAAAAACCACCAATAATAAGAAAATTATTACAAATATATAGGAAATGTTTTGTATATAATAGTAAAGGAAAATATCACTTCCATATAAACAAAGTTAGTACTTTGATTATCTTTAATACAATTTAAGAAATCTCAACTTTTCAATACACAAATGACTTGCAATTCATGTTTCCTGTAAGTTATATCCATTCTCCAAATTGTATGCATATGACACATCACTTTATCTAATTTTAGTTAACATACATGGCAAGTTTAATATGTCATAAGTGCAATGCTTCAATAAGGGTATTTTTGTCACAGATGAGGCTGTTATAATTGGTTCTATCAAGAAATGGTACTTTCAATCTTAAAATCTTAAACTAAACAGATTGATCTGGGAATATTTAAGCAAAAAAAGCAAATGGTAAATAGGGGTAATTTGGTCAAAATGTGTAATTATGTCACATTGAGGTTGCAGGGGCAATTGATTGGTTGTAAAAATCAATTTAAAGTCTTTAATCAGCTGAGGAGGAAAGGAAAATCGATCGGATGGGGAGGAATGGAAAATCGATCGACTGTAAAAATCGATTTGAGTAGAGGAGGGTTGATCGATCGAACCCAAGATCAAATCCTAGAGAGCTTGTATCGCTTCTGTGCTTCACTCCCCCTTAAACCAATTAAGCATCTGATTCCTTTCCCTTAATCCACGTAATAACTCCATGTCACCATTTATTTTACTTAATTATTTTTTACCGGAATAAATTTTTCTTTACCTACATATGTCGGTTAGTAATGGGTGGAATTTGAACAAAACATAAACTTCTGTAACACCTAGTTCCTGGAATGTACTTGAAAAACAATTCATTTATTTTGCAAAGGGACTCGACGAGTTGGAGGCCCCAAACTCGTCGTGTGGGAACGGAATTTGGACGCGGGACGTGAAGCCTACTCGACCATTCGAAAGCCTCAACTCGACGAGTAGGGCTGCCAGAGCGAAACCCTAATTTACAGGGTTTTGCACCCTATTTAAGCACTTTAACCTCCAAAGGGTGGCCTCATTTGCAGCCTTCGTCGTCCCAAACCCTAGCCAAGAAACCCTAATCCGTTTTTTTTAGATTTTTGAGCCATCCTTTGTGATTTTGAAGCTTGTGAAGGAAGAAGAGACTTAAGGAAGGAGCAAAGAAGTGAAGGAAAAGAGCATATCCAAAAGTAGTGCTTCAATTATGGTTTGCCTAAGGTATCAAGCTCTCACCTTGCTTATTGACTATATAGGTCTAGTTTAAGGTCTTTTTCTCCATGTTTTGGTTCAATAATGATAACCTTTGGGATTTTGATGTCCCCTGGGAAAGAACCTTGATATGGGCATATTTAGTTATAAAATTCATGCATTATCTTAATACTTTATGTTGATTTTATCTCATTTAATGAACAAAAGGTGCTTAATTAGTTTAGAATCTCATTTTTCAGCAATAATGACATGCTCGGAAGGAAAATGAAGCGGAACTAGCGATTGGTGACTTGGATCTTGGATTTTGAAGAAAGAAGGATGTTTCTGGACAACTTGACCCCTCGTCAGTGTTTTGGCCATATCTCATGAACCGTAACTCCGATTGACAAGATTCAAAATGTTCTGAAAACTAGACACAATTTCAGACGACTTTCGTTTTTTGAGAAAATTCTGATTCCAAATGGACTCGGCGAGTAGGACATCAACTCGGCGAGTTGGTCAGAAGTTTTGTGATTCTGGACGCGCTAACTTGCCGTACACGGGTTTAAGTGACGGACTCGCCGAGTAGGTCATTGGACTCGCCGAGTAGACCCTGTTTTGTGAAAATCTATATAAAGAGACTTTCAGATCGATGCCCTAGCATATAGATGAACCCTTGGAGGCCAATTGTCAACTAAAGGTGCTGCTGGAGCGTGGGAAGCAAGGGAATCAACCCTACAGTCAATTTTAAGGAGAATCAAGTCAAAATCAAGTTTACTCTTACCTAATCTCTTGTTTGAACTATGTTTTTACCAATTGATTTCATTTTTGTGCTTGCATCTGCTGTAATCATGAGCTAAAAACTCATAACTTCTGTTTAGGTAGATGAATTTGTGAACATGGATTAATTATTTGATTAGGATTAATTTTAATTGGTGATTATGTTTTCTTAAGCTTGTTAAAGAACCTTATGTGTTAACAATAACTATTCTTCTATTAATAAATCAGTAATTAAGTTGTATGAACATCTCTTAGTTGCTAATTGCATATGATTTACGTGACCACATAGTTGTATGTCTAGGAATAACGAATGTGAAACTAGAATTAACTAGAAGATAGGTAAGATAATGTGTGAGCTTGTGTGATACACCATCAACAAGAGGTTAATTGAATAACCAATTTGATTAGCTAATTACAATTCTTTCTAAACCCGAATCAACAAACCAGGAAATTCATTAATTTAGACAACTGGCCATTGCTTGAATTAATTTGTTTTCTAAGGATTAGCTATAGCGAATGTGTATCTAATCACTTTAGTCGGTAACCAATGAAGAATTAATTCAATATATTTACCATAAAATCATCCATGGGAACAAATGATTCGAACCTAAACAGAAGGCCTTTTTAATCATTGAATTTAGTTGATCTTTGTTTTCTTAGCTGTTAGTTCCTTAGTTTGCGTGTTAGTAAAGTATTTAAGTTTCTAGTCTTGTAAAACTAGAGAAAACCCTTTTTTTACTTGTTTTATTTAGATAATATTAGCATTTATTTTAATTGTTTATCGTTCCCTGTGTTCGATACCCTACTTACCTAAACTAAATTGCTAATCGATAGGTACACTGCCTTTCGTGTGTTTGTCTTTGTGTTTAAGTTAGTAGGATTAAAACTAGTTCGTTTCACACACATCAAGTTTTTGACGCCGTTGTCGGGGAACGGTTCTAAATAGTTAATTTTATTTGCTAATTGTTATTATTTTTTTTATTTGTTGATTAATTTTTTTATTTAGTTTAATTTTTATTTTTATTTTTATTTATTATGTATTTTCCAAATCTCGATGCTTTTGATGCTTTTCTTGAGGAAGTAGTGCAGGAAATTGAGCAGGAAGATGAGGATTGTGAC